AGGCTCCACTACTGATACTGTGCTGCTGTTAATGTAATCATTATCATCATATGATCAAATAATTTCATCTGGTCTTGTTGATATTATCCGTCAACAGAAAAGCCAGAATTATTTTATTTATTTGTATGAGACTTCAAAATCATTAACAGACCTCAGAATGTGGAAAGTTCTGGGGTAGAGGCCTCCATGAACAACCTGTATACACTACCTAGCCATCCTCCATTCTTTAATCCTAGATCAGCCCACTGCTCAAGCTGTAAGCATTTTTTTTATATTATTTTTTGAATTGGTCTTATTTTTCTGAATTGGTCTTATTTTCATCTTCCACATCACCAATGGAACTGCAATCACCTTCATAATATAAAATAGTTTAAGATTCAAGATTGCTTTATTATCATTAACCAAACATGTGATGAAATAAATTCTTTTTGCCTGCTGCATAAAATGAAAGACATGGACAAACAGTAAAAGGCAATTCAATTATTGATAAACATTGAAAACAACAAACGGATACAATATAATAATAATGTACCTACAGGATTGGATTTATTTGGTGTAAACACCAAGGATAGCCCACAAAAGTCTAGAAGACGACTTATTTCCAGTGGGGTCCTTCTGGTGGTGATTGGGCAGTACACCGGGAGACAATCCCCTACTCTTTTCTGAAGAGTGTACTGTGTTCTTTAACGTGCACATGGGCCATAATGCACACGGGACCAACGGCTTAAACGTCTCATCCGAAAGACGGTGCGCTATTGTAACTTGTATTTCAGCCCTCTAGCTGAATCACAAGGAGAGGCAGCGATGGAAATTGAACCGGGGACCTAGAGATCTCCATGGTTCAGCGCACACACAATGGCTACCACCAGATTAGCCGACTGAACTAAGCTGCTCATATCTACTAAAGCTATCATCACCATCTACTTCAGAATCGTCATCACGATCCAAACCATCACCTTTAGAATCATTGGAAGCATCATCATCATTAAATTATTAAAACACTCAAAATTTATGTATTAATATTATAAATTATTAGTATTATTATTAATATTACTATGTTTATACTGTAGGGATATCTCCAAAATACAATTTACACCAACCTATTGTATTTCTTATTTAATAGCAGCAATCATGTGACATCCATACATTTATACAAATTTGAATGACATTATTTACTCCACTATATATCTTGTATATTTTACCTTATTCTTTATATTTACATCAGCCCCGGCATCCAAAAGAAGTCTTGCAATGTTAAGGTGATCTCTGAATATATGATTGGCTTCTAACAGCTTGTGAAGTGGAGTCTCTTGATACTGTAACACATTGGAAACAAAGAGAGTGAATCAATAAATGACAGCTCATATGATCATATTAATCAACATTCGAAGGAAATCCACTCTTATTCTTAATTTTTAAACATTAAATAATATAAAATAATAATACAATTAAACTGAATGAGTGGGTAGGAATACAAACAAAAGTAATTTTTTTCTGCTCGATTCTCTCACCCGGTTCATCACTTTTAAGGATGTAACCTCGGGAGAAGTATTTATTATTTTTTTATTCAGTAATTACTTTAATTTTTTTATTGTTTGTATCATGTTATGCAAATTGCAATATTTTTTGAATGAATATATTTCATAGGAATTGAAATAAAAGTTATTTAACATCAACATTCAATGACTATAAATCAATATAATTAAGAGAAATTGTGATACAAATAATGTAAAATAGTAATTTAAGCAATCATATTTGGTGGGGTATGCAGGTCATTAGGACCTTTGTGGAATGTCCCTACCAGCGATGTATTTAGGGTGGGGTATGCTGGTCATAAGGCATTATTGGAGTGACGTTCTAGTAGACAGTTATAACATTGTCACTTGTTTTCTGTCATGATTTATTTCGGTCATGTAATTATGTTGTGTGGATGGCCCACTGGCAATATGAAAGAAATTAAATACTGAATTGAATTAAATTGAATCTAGCAGAAATCATCAGAGAGATGTGGCAGTGCCAGGGTGGGTAGGGTGTGTAGAAAAACAAAGAAGTTTGGATGGGCAAGTCTCATAGTCATATCCAGGGCCACTCAGTGAGGAGTAGGGGTTCTTGTCTGGAGACAGGGGGGGGGGGGGCATCAAGGTTTACTGAGATGGAAGGTTGGATCAGAAATAATAATAATAATAATAATAATAATAATAATA